GAGAGAGAGAGAGAGAGAGAGAGAGAGAGAGAGAGATTATAACCACTTGTTATTTTTCTTTACTTGGCAATTGTTGGGTATCAATTACATCAAGTTAGAGCACTTTGATTGATAAAAAAATAAAAATAAAACTATTACTGATAATTTTTGTCTTGTTTACTAACTACGTGCTTGAGATAGAGAGACGTGAATCAAGAATGGGACGGCTTGTCAATTTCATGCTATTTATAACTTATGACACTTTATATTAGTTCTTCGTTTCTCTTGAAATGGAAGCTCACCTTTTATCGAAAAAAATCGGTGAATCAATGGTATACAAATCGACTTTTATAAATTTGTTTGCTCAATAAGATTTTTCAGTAAAATTGCACTAAAAAGCTCTTTGTAAATCACCGAAAGTATTTCTTTCATTAACATCCCAACTTAAAACATACAAATCGACAAAAGTCAAATAAAGTCTTATTTACTAATATCACATCGAGACAGAGATACATCATAAACAGACTAAGAAAACATCGAAGAATATGGAAAGAAGTGTGATCGTATGCTCGTGCTTCTAAATAAAGAATGTCATAACTATAAAGCTTCCATGGTTCTTATTATAATCACCCGTAAATTTCTTCCATGTAACATTCATAGAAAAGCATAACACACGCTAGTAATTCTACAAACCTCTACCTAACTCTAGAGCTCGTGAAATGACTTCTTTCTATCATTTTGTTCGATTCATTGGTACATAATTTATGACATTAGCGAATAAATATTATATCAACTTAGTGAAACATTTATTCTTTCTTTTTATTGACGTAGGAACCCGCAGCCGTTACCCGCCTCGAAATCCCGACCACCCCGAAGGGGTGGATGGTCGGAGGCCCGACCACTGTGAATGTGTATTAGGTAAATCCCGCTCCATGTGCATTAACTTGCAAATCACACAGGATAGATAAACTGTACTAGACAAGTCTGGTGCGACGGACTCGATCGAGGAAGTATTAGCAAGGGATTCGAAGTCGTAACATTTGATCTCCGCGTTCACCGGTTTCACCAACTCGACTATCCCCAAAGGAGTAGTGTAACATTTCTTCTTGATTTGCGATTGAGAACGAGTTATCTCTAAAGAGAATTTGGAGTGCGCCGACCTAAAATATTGGCTTTCTATTTTCCTAATTTTCCTCGTTACATTTGAAATTTAAATGAACATTTCAACGCTTTCAAATATCCTTGTCCGTCAGCTACTTTTGGTTTTAGTGGAACAACTTGTTATTATATTAAATTGCTATCGTCAAAGCATAAGAGTGAATAATATTGATAAAAGGTCGCCGAATCAATTTTTTCTGGCGAGTGAGTACTCATTATTTGTGGTGTACAAAATATATCAATTTATAAAATTATCTCTTCACTTTTTAGGATTTTTAGTACATTGAACTAAAAAAATTGTATGATGGACTGGATTAGATACAATGTTCTAAAAGACGCAATATCTAAGACTAGGAGGTTAAGGTTCAAATCTTACAAGTTTAGGCGAAATAGGATGTTTTCTTATTTTTTTAGTAATTTGAATTATTTCAGACCAATAAGTAAATAAAATATTGAATACTTCGAAAGATTATAAGAGTTTTATTATATTTTTATGTTTTCGACAAAAGCATAATCTTAAATTCATAAATAAAAAATCAAATGGTCGACGATGTTGTTCCTCGTATACTAGGGTTGGGCTAGTGTGAATTTTTTGGGACTTTAACATTTTTTTTTTGTTTCAACAATTGTTGAACATTTTGTTGAGTCTTTTTCTGTCTAGTCATGCTCACCTAAGTGCTAGGTGGGACGTTTTCCCCGTGCCTTATAATGCTAATTAGGCCCTTGTTTGCATTAAAGCAAAACTTTTTTTTTTCTCAAACTCATTTTAATCGTACATTCTCGTAACAAAATGTTTTACATGTAAACTCAGAATTTTTTCTACTTTTTAATTACGTATTTTTCAAAAGAGTAATACTATTCATTCCCACTGAATTTACAAAACAGTTTATATGGCGTTAATGTGACATTAAATGATATGTGAAATTAAATAAGTTATTTAATTTAACCTATCATTTAAGGCCACCTAAATTGTATTTGTAATTCCATTAAGAATGAATAACATTACTCTTTTCAAAAAATTACTATTTCAAAATTTAGTTTCTTAAAAAAAAAAAATGATTGTCGAGCTAGATATAATTAAAAAGGTACATTATTAAAAGAAATATTAAAATGAAACATTTATTACGGAGTGATAATTACAGGCCCCTACCCTTGTGAGCTCCTTGAGTACCTCCCCCCATCTTCCCTCTCAATTTTCATTCGCCCCCAAACCCCCCACTCCTCCCTGCCTCCATAAATACACTGGCCAGCCACACTCTCTACTCAGTCTAGACTGAATTTATATATTTAATTTCTCAGTTACTTGAGAATAAAAATGGCTTCAGTTAGTTCATTACTCTGCATTGCTAGTCTCTTCTGTTTACTGTCAGCTACTCGCGCTAAAATCCGTGGCATTTATACCGGCGGCCCCTGGCAGTCCGCTCACGCCACATTCTACGGCGGCAGCGATGCCTCTGGCACAATGGGTAATTATATTCTCTTTTTACTACATTTGGACTGCTGATAAACCTTTTTATTAACTTTTTGTTTGTAATATTTCCTCAGGTGGTGCTTGTGGGTATGGGAATCTGTACAGCCAAGGCTACGGAGTGAACACCGCAGCTCTAAGCACGGCTCTGTTCAACAATGGACTGAGCTGTGGGGCTTGCTTTGAGATAAAATGTGATGCTGAGCAGGACCCCAAGTGGTGCAACCCGGGCAGCCCATCAATTTTTGTTACCGCCACTAATTTCTGCCCTCCTAACTTTGCTTTGCCCAGTAATAATGGCGGGTGGTGCAACCCTCCGAGAACCCACTTCGATCTTGCCATGCCCATGTTCCTCAAAATCGCCGAGTACCGCGCCGGCATCGTCCCCGTCAACTTCCGCCGGTAACGCCCCCACAAATGCATGTTTACTTTTACCCCCTTAAATTTGATAAATTTTCATTAATTTCACTCTGTATTTTGTTGTCTTGGAAATGGTAAATCAAACGACCAGTGGTTTTAGGATCAGATTTTCGTCGGTGCTTATGGGAGTGGGTCGTCGGGTCAAAAAATGGGCACTGTTATCAAGGTCGTTTTAGCATTTATTAAGGTTTTAATGGTCATTTTTAGCATTTATTAAGTTTTATTTGTGTTTTACCGAGGTTATTACAGTCATATCGTAGTACGAATGGCAACGGAACTGACTTTTACTGGCATGAATCAGATTTCACAATTTGATTTGAGGCACTTACACATTTCTTAAGAAATAATTAATGTCCATTTTGTCCCCATAGTAATTTACAAGGACGAAAATGCCCTCACATTTCTGTAATAATTACCAATTGAAGTGGGAGGTCCATTTATTCATAGGCATCACATTTGAAGGGCAATTATATCAGTCCAGATATTGAAATGAAATGGCTTAAATTGTAAAATTAAAGTTCAGTAATGGGCATTATAGTAATATTGTATTCTTGCGGTTACCAGGAAATCAGTAGTGCCTCGTATTCATAAATTCTTTCGACACGACTCACGTAGTCCCATATTCTTGTTGGGCCTACCCGATTAAAGCGGGCACCGTATTTAGTGATCCACGCTACCGGATTCACCGGTCAACCTAACGTTAATCTTTAGAATAATGCTACACTTACCTTGATTTTGACGTTGTTTTCGTTTTTTTGAAAATTTGGAGTGGGAAAATTGGTTTTCATTTTAAACTGTCCAATGATATTCTGTCATCTGACAAAATGTAAAAAAATAATGTACATGTAGCATATTGTAATCTCTAGCAGTAATTAATGTATCCGATTTAACTCTTTCTATTGAATTTTACAGGGTACCTTGCAGGAAGCAAGGAGGAATGAGATTCACGATCAACGGTTTCCGTTACTTCAATCTACTTATGATCACGAACGTCGCGGGTGCTGGGGATATTGTGCGCGTTAGCATCAAAGGCACGAACACCCAGTGGTTGCCAATGAGTCGAAACTGGGGGCAAAACTGGCAATCCAATGCAGTTCTTGTGGGCCAGGCTTTGTCTTTTAGAGTTACGTCCGGTGACCATCGGTCATGCACCTCCATGAACGTAGCACCAGCTAATTGGCAGTTTGGACAGACCTTTATGGGCATGAACTTCAAGGTTTAAGAAAAAAGAAATTAAAAAAAAAATCCAATATTTAATACTTACTATTACTAGGGTTTCACTACTTTTCAACCTCTTCAAATTTTCCTCCTTTTCTTGGGAAAAGTTGAAGAGAGAATATTAGAATAGGATAAGTAAAAGTGAGGTGTGTGGTTTTTTGTTTTGTGATGGTGAAGTGTGGAGGCTGAAGCGGCTGCAAGAAAAGGAAAGTAAATGTAGCCCGCAGGCTCTATCTATTATGATACTATATGTGGAAGTTGTTCTGTTTCACATTCTTATAAGCAATTTATAAGCACCGTTCTATGTTGCAGTAAGATCACTGTCAAATTCTTATGTTCACAACTAACATTATTCTTTTGCATAGCGTTACCCGCAAACAATCACTATTTCAGTTATCGCTCATTGAAGGACTTGAAGCACATATGTGTATGGCAAAATAAATGAAACTACTCGAGCAACGATTATTCTAGAAAAATTACTCGTAAGAGTCAAATTGAGATGTGTTGTTTGGAAATCGTCGTTTTCTTACTGTCCCTTAAATACATTTTGTGTTAGATATTGTTCTAATGTGTCAAAAATGTATTAGGGAACAGTCAATGGAACAAAAAGTTCTGAACAAGAGATCTAGGCTTGAGCTAAGCTACCGTTAAAATATAGTCTCATAATCTCTATATCTAATACGGACATGAGTTAGTAATACACCAATGTTCGTCCTTTGCATGAAATCCCATGGGAGAGAGAGAGAGAGAGAGAGAGAGAGATCATGTCTTCAGCTGTAAGACCCCAAGTACCGCATCAAAATATGGTTGATGGTTCTGTCTATTTCATTGAGGTACAATTGGCATTGTTCTTTAATAAATGAGCATTTCCTTTTCAAGAAAATTTATGAGCCAATGACTTATTTATTCTTATTTGATCTTTAATATATGTTTGTTTGACTTACTTTTGGGCTTATGGAATTTGTGTATTCCCAAAGATTTTTGGAATTTTACCCTAATTTTTTCCTGACCAAGAATTGTTACGTGACATGAAAAAGCCTATTTCTTAACCAATCAAGAAAAGTTTTTTTTTACAAACTGGACACTTGGCTCCTCCCTGTTGGAGGGGCGCCTGCCACCACAGACGTCCCTCCAATAGGGGGGCGCCAAGTGTTCAGTTTGTAAAAAATTAGGTAAAACATTTTGTAAGTATAGCATGGTCCCCGTTAAAATATAGTCTCATAATCCCTATATCTAATACGGACATGAGTTAGTAATACACCAATGTTCGTCCTTTGCATGAAATCCCATGGGAGAGAGGGAGAGAGAGAGAGAGAGAGATCATGTCTTCAGCTGTAAGACCCCAAGTACCGCATCAAAATATGGTTGATGGTTCTGTCTATTTCATTGAGGTACAATTGGCATTGTTATTTAATAAATGAGCATTTCCTTTTCAAGAAAATTTATGAGCCAATGACTTATTTATTCTTATTTGATCTTTAATATATGTTTGTTTGACTTACTTTTGGGCTTATGGAATTGTGTATTCCCAAAGATTTTTGGAATTTTACCCTAATTTTTTCCTGACCAAGAATTGTTACGTGACATGAAAAAGCCTAAAAGAATTGGTTAGTTCTTTTCAAAATGTCCCCCGTACGAGATAAAGAACAATTTCACTCCATATTCAATAGAATCAATACCATTCTACTTGACTTGCATCTTAAAATTTAGCCTATGGCTGATTTCGATTTTATTGCAAAAAAGCGACTCTCTCAAACAATAATATGGGGTCCCCCTTTTTGATTTTTTCCATGACATTGGCTAACACTAAAGAAATGAAACTTCGAATCGATTTTGTGACATTTTGATGTAAAGTCTATTTCACCGTTTATTGAAATTAAATTTGATGAAAAAAAATGATAGGTCTCGTGTATTTATCGAGAGGGATAATTCGATCTTTTGACACACGGGTACGTGCGGGGTAATTAGATGAATAGCATAACTTTCCTAAGACAAATGTTTGATTTTAGGCTTCATTTTTTATTTCAAAGTTCAGGAACCAAATCTAGCAAATTTGCTAAAAATCTCCTAAATAGGAACACCGAACACGGGTTTATTAAACCAGTATGAACGATGCTATAAACTCGAGATTAAATTTCTCAAGCAAAAAAAATGGAAATTTATTCATGTGAGTGTGTTGTAAGTGTTGTCAACCACTAATGATTGTACACCTAGAATTGTTCCAGTAAAAACAAAACGCCGTCTGTGGGAATCGAACCCACGACCACGTGGTTAAAAGCCACGCGCTCTACCGGCTGAGCTAAGACGGCTTATGGTTAGAACTTATTATGATAAATATATAAACTATATTGTATACTTTCCTGTCAATTTTTTAATTGATTTCTTTAAACCAACAAAAGTAACAATTTCGTAAATGCATGTTTTGTAAAATTATGATCTCCTCATAATTTAAAGTCGAGATCAAAATTCATTTTAATCACTAATTTATTTTTCATACGTGAGACCGATTACTCGGCCTCTTTTTATCATCCTTTAAAATTTTAAATTATTTTCTACAGTACCATTCTCCACCACACATTCACACAATAAAATATTCTACACACAAACCAATACAATTTCCTTACTTTTTAACCACACATTCTCCATAATATATTATTCTATAATATATTACAAGAAATTAATGGCACTCAAACAGGCCTCAATTTCATTATTATCCCATTATAATTTCTCCCAAAGAAGACATAAAAAGGTTAATTTTTAAACACAACCAAATATTCATCTTCTCTTCATTCTTTCTTTTTTCTTGTTTTCTTCGCTTTTCAGTTTGGATATAGAACAGTGGAAGTGGATGCTTTGTTTATGGTTCAACTAATCCACTTGGAGTAGGAAAATTTTGGGATGTGACCTATTCGTTGTCTCAAATTTCAAATATGATGTGATCTTTTCCAATATAAAATTAGGATTGTGTGAATTGTGATTGCAAAAAGAGTTGGTTTTGGTTGAATCTTTTTTCTTCTGGTAGAGAACCCAGTTAGTCAATCCACCTCAACTGCTCCTCACATTATTCTAACAAGAAATTGGATAAAGAATTAACACATTCAATTCAGTTAACTAGGATTCTTGACATTCATGGATGAACATCCTCAAAAACATACATATTTTTGACAAAATTAAGATTTCCATGCTAAAAACATCCTATAACATGCTGATCATAAACCAGAACGCTGTCCTATTGAGTACAAAAGCATATCGCCACAATAAAAACTGTACATGCTTTTCAAAATATAGTTATCCGGAAAGAAGTTCATTCTAAACCAAACAAGACTATGCCATGCCTCTGTTTCTTCTCTTACGCGTAGAGAGGGGAAGCTGAAGGTCTGGGATAAGCTGTTACTCCACGAGTTTCCTCAGCACTGCTTTGGTATGACCGATGTCCCTTGTGAGGTTGGCTGTGTTGATTTGATTTGTGAATGTTTTGATCAATTTTCAAAGCGTTCTTCGACTCTTGAACCTGTTCTAAAGCAGTTACGACTTCGTTCATCTTTGGCCTCAACTTGGGTTCCATGAATAAGCATTGAAGCGCAAGGGTAGCTGCCTTTAAGGCTTGACTGGTTGAGTACTGGCCTTCAAGACGGGGGTCTAGAACACGCAACATTCTACGTTTTTTGATAAGATAAGGTTTTGCCCATTCAACCAGATTACGTTCCCCCGATGGCCGATTCTTGTCTATTGCTTTCTTACCAGATAGAATTTCTAAAAGTACCACTCCAAAGCTGTATACATCACTCTTGACAGTTAAATGGCCTGGACTTCCCCAAAAGCACAAAATGAAAAAGGTCTATTAGGATAGCATGCATTACTCGACTAATGAATTACAAATGCAAATTAGAGCAAAAACCAGTAAATTGATGAACTCTTATTAGTCAAGCAAAGTTCTAGGGAGAAAACTGCATGACATGAGTACCTGTGGATAGATACTCAGGGGCAGTGTATCCATAAGTTCCCATAACTCGAGTTGAGACATGACTCTTATCACCAGTTGGTCCATCCCTCGCCAACCCAAAATCGGAAAGTTTCACATTGTAGTTCTGCCGATCAAAATCACAAGAAGCAAAATTATATGTTAACCATTCAAAAGTCATAAAAATGAATATAAACCATGCTGAAAAATGAAATGGTTAACACTAGAGCAAGCAAGATTATACTTACCGAATCAAGCAAGATATTAGAAGTCTTGAAGTCTCGATATATTACTTTAGTCTCAGCATTGTGAAGAAATGCAAGTCCTCTTGCAGCACCTAGAGCAATTTTCATTCTTAGGCTCCAGGAAAGTGGCTGGAAGTAAGAACCTCCTAGTTCAATACAAAACCATCGTGTAAACTAGAATTCGACATTCAGCAATATTCACTAAGTTATTACACTATGGTATGAATAAGGGGGTACACTGAACTCACTCCTGAATAGATGATTCTCCATGCTACCCTTGGGCATGAACTCATAGACCAAAACTCTGTGGTCATCCTCTAAGCAGTAACCAATTAATTTCACAAGATTAGGATGCCGAAGCTGCCCAAGATAGTTAATTTCTGCCTGAAAATTCGAAAGTAAAGCTTATCAATGAAAAGGAAATTATCAAAGTGTACAACTGCTAATTCATATTATTGCCATCACAGCTGTATGTTTGCACTATATTTTAAATGCAGGCATTAATTGTGTAGGGAAATAATATAAAGTCCACCAAAGGGAATGGATATGAAAACCACGAATCAAAACAGAAAATAAAGTACACAAAACCATTTGAACACGATATCGTTGTCCTCAAACTATATTTGCCCCCTCTCGGATTGAAAATGATGCTTGAAGGATTAAGGCAAATGGTTTGCAGGATTTTAACAAGCCTTGTAAACAATTAACACTCAAGCATCAAGTGTAATTCTCCAAAAAACTTGAAGAACACTAAAGAAGGATTTGAATATGATGAAGAAAAATTGTAAATTCTTTGTTGTTTTGGAATGATTTTTTGTTATTGAGTATGACTATGGTTTTTGTATGTTTTCAACATGTTTTTAATGATCACAAACCACCTATATATAGCCATGAAACATTACTATACGAAGTGGGCCAAAAACCCTCCAATAGCCACCAAAATTCAAAAGCCAACGGTAAAAAACGGTTAGAATTTTGCTCTATGCGGTCGCATAGGCCAAACCTATGCGACCGCATAGTTATATCAAAGAAGGGACCTCCAGTCCCGCTAAGTATCTATGCGACCGCATGATACCGCATAGTTCAATATTTTGGCCTCAAATCCCATTTTTCATTCCACATCCATTTTTTATGAATTTTGGACAATATTTCTAACAAATTGTCTAATGCTACTTCAAGCAAATGCATATCTCACAATTATTCGACAGAAATGCCTAACAAAATCTCCATGCTTAACAAAATTAAGTGACAAATGCATTAACAAATTTCCAAGTACATTGGAGTCTTGACTATGCCATGACATGTCTTCAACTGTGAATCGGATTTTTAATTACAAAATTGACTTACTTCTTGATAAAGTTGAGAAGTTTAAGGTGAAAATCGTACATACCAAACATTCCCTGTGACCCTGCCACCCTTCTTGGTTTAGCCTCTTAACAGCTATCACCATCCCAACCCCAGGCTTCGATGCTGCAAGTGAGTGTTCGTCAACCCATCCTTTGTAAACAGAACCAAAACCCCCTTCCCCTAATACACTGTCTGGGCGAAAGTTTCTCGTGGCTGCTTTAAGATCACTGAATGTGAAGCTTTTCAAGTTGGGGGACTGCAAGATCTCACCCTCACGCCAAGGAGTCGAGGGTATAGAAGCAGATGAGGCCTTGCTGCTTGAATTACTTAATTCTATCTCATTTCCACTGACATTTTTACAAGAAATAACACCTGCATATATTATCCAGTTTGGTCAAAAAACATTTTAATTATAATAGAATTACATATCACAAATTCAAAATCATCACTTTTTATTGCCAAATTCTTCAAAGTAATACTTCAAGCACAAAGCATGTAGATAAACCGGTAGATAAAAATTGACCCTATCTTATTGTTCTTTCTTGGCAGGTTCAGTGGGAAATTAAGACAAATTACCCTTAACTCAGCAAATGCAGAGGATATGAACTGTAATTTCATTTGCAGCTCACATATTACATCTGTATTCAAAACTTAGCAATTATAGCACAGAGCAGAAACATATAGTGAGGGGATACATGACCTAATCAACAAGATAAATGAACAAAATCTTATAAACAACTAAAGACAAACAGGTTCATATTGATTAAGGGCCCGGATTGACGGAACCTCTACTTCTCTGCTTCTTCTAGAAAAACTTCGTGAGGAAACTACTTAAACCACCTTCCGCTCCAGACAAAGGACTTCCAGAAAATTATCCATACAAGATCAAGAGCAAGCATTTTCAAAAGTCCAGCCAAACGGACCCTAAAAGGAGTTGAAGCTTGCCCATATTCGAAAAACTGAAACAATAACATGGAGCAAGACATTATTCAAAAAATAACTTTACCAGTATGAAAAGGGCTCTTAGCCTTGATTTGGTTGCTCAAGCAAATCCCCATTACAGTATCAAGTAACCCTCCAAAAACTCAAATACTCTTACAGCCCAAGAAAACAAGGCTAAAATTCAAAGAAAACCTCAGATTCCTTCTTTTTCTTCTTCTTCTTCTTTTTTTTTTAGTATGCAAGCAAAAAGAACAAGAACAAACAAGTTACTTCAAGTGTCTATATGAAATGAACCACAATACCACCCTCACAACTCTCGTGACCCCAAATCTAAAGTAAAATCCTCTTAGTTTTCTTGATTTGTCTGTCTCAAAATTTCTTCTCAGTCGCCCACCATACCCATAAAACAGCAAGCTTGACAATGAACAGGTGGTGGCTTTTCAGTTGAGTAAAGAAAATTATGAGAGAAATTACAAAAGTAGCTAATTTTTCTTGTTCTGCAGGGTCATACACATATGAAAAGAAACCACTTTTTGGACCTTTTTTTATCAAGTACAGAAGATTGACTTGCTTTTCCAAATTGTCTACACTATGAAGACAATTTGAGTGGGGTATATTACTTTCTTAATCAAGATTAACTCAGTTAATTAATTGAAGTTGAAAGTAATTTTACTTAGTTGTAGGCTCTGTATTGTTGTGAATTTAGTCTTATTCAAAATGCTACATTTTTAGCTAGTAGTCAAGTTTTATACAGTTTTATTGAATTCAAATCTGGTAAAAATATTCTAACTCATCATTTATTAAAAAGTAACAATCTTGTTTGTTTTCTTGAAAACTTTTCATATTATGTGATTTAAAAATTATCTGCAATTAGAAGGAAAATGATCATCGATTAAGTGAGTTTAGGCAAAGGAATTTATGCACTTATTGTATGATCATATAGGTGAATTAAACAAAAGAACAAATGGAGACAGGTTATTATTATATTTCTTTACTTATTTGATAATGCTAGTACTCTTTAATCGGTGAACAAACTTTTGTCGTATTTATGATTATTTGCGTCAAAAATATTATATTTGATAATTGTAGTGATCTATATTCAATGTACAAACTTTTGTCTGTCTTTATGATTGTACACGTCAATACGATTTCACTGATCAAACATCTACAAATTTCGCATGTTCTATAAACAACATAATTACAAAATAATGTATTATTAAGTAGTTTAAAATTTATCTAACCGATACTCTTTGATACTCAAATCCATCTCGTTGTTTACATATCACTGCGATATTTATGAGAATGTATTATTAAGTTAATAATGTTTAGGACAATTGAAGAAATTATGATCCAAACATATATCACCACATTATATGTATATAAATCATTATGTAAACTTATTAATATATATGTAGCACAATCGATTATTTTTTATTATGTCAAATACGCTACTATTATACACATACTTCGTTTTGTCTCATTTTGTTATATATTAGAAATGGACCTGATAAAAATTAATTTCAACCAAGTTTAGCAACTGATTTTTGTCTATATTTTGAAAAATAATATATATTTGATAATTTTGAAATAATATTTATTTTATTTATATTAGCGATTCGATCCAATTTTATTATAGTAGGAAGTGTCTAATTTGAAACTTCAAAATTGTCTAATTTTTTAAAACTTGAAAATTTTCTACTTGTGAAAATATTAAGTAATTATAGTATTTATTATTTTAGTTATTTAGTATACACTATTTTATTTATTGGTCTTATAATAGTATTAAATTACAAAATGCCTTTTCGGGCATTTGGAAGTAAAGTTCAATGGTGTAATTGCCCCGAATAAAAACCTAGTGATCTAATTGCAAGTAATGTTAAAATTCAATTATCACATATGAAATTTACTTTACTAACTTGACAGTACACGTGTAGATTTTGTTAATTTTAATGGGGTAATTGGCGCAAAACGTCCCTACGTTTGACGATTTTTGTCGAAAACATCCCTACGTTTCATTTTTTGGCGCAGAACGTCCCTACCTTTCACTTTTTTTTGCGCAAAACGTCATTTTTCCTAATTTTTGACATAAAATGACCAATATACCCTTCAATTTAAATAAAACAAAAAGGAAAA